TCAGAAGGAAATGTATAGTACGCATAAAATATTTATGATCATTTCGTACATTGTAACTATATCTATGTAAAAGCCAAAATAAATATCAACTGTTCCAGCTATACAATATACAGTGCCTGATGTGTTTATTGCCACATTTTCTATGACCAGTCTCCTGTCTGTTGTGTTTCTCCAGTGACTGTGTTATTCCAGGGAAATGAGTAACACAAGGGGAGGAGGGTGCATAATGGCTTCTACTCTGTAGGAGATTGTCTGAACCAACACATGGATCATGCTCTGCATCTCTTGAATCCGTGTTGAATCTGTGTTCCTGTATTGTGCAGAAAACACATAGAGGGTGAGCAGCTCAGGTTTCTTTGAAACAAATCAGTGTCTATCGCAGGCACTTCACACTTTACAGTTCATATCTTTGAGGATCAATGAAATGCTGAAGATAAAAAGATAGGTCCTCTCCTAAGGAGTTACAAAGCCCAAATGGTTCTGGTTTTATCTGTGTTATTTCGCAAGAACTGTTAGCTAGATTTCATTCTTTTTCTCCCTATGCAGTGAATACATGAAGTATGGAAACCCTTGCAGATACAAGGAAAGCTGTAATTCTGTGCTGCTGAAATCTCAAGCTTTCACATTTTCCCAGATGGATTGTTACAATTGCAACACATTTTAAACAGTGTCATGGTATTATCAAGCCACGTATGATTATTGATACAAGACTTGTGTGAATGATGGAATAGAGCAACAAAGAACAAAGGAACTCAAAATAGCCACTGGTCACCAAAATGTTTTAATTGAAGAGATGCATGTGAAGATTGCTGGTTTGAAATTTTAAATGTGAATCTTGTAGAGGGGAATGTAATGTAGTCCATAATGGGAAACATTTTAAAGACAGAAGATACTAGTTTGGAAAGGGAAAATGCTTCACTGAGGAAAATCAGTTTGGGGGTCAGCATTTTCTGTCATTTTATTCCCTCTATGGGCTCGGTTACTGAGCAGAATGTTTTACATAATAGAATTCTGGTTTCCCTTCTTGGTTGTTGATACTCCACTTGTGTATGCTCAGAGCATGTCAATGATGACAGCTGGCTATTTCTTCAACACAGAGATTTTGATTATGTCTTGTTTTATGGTAAGTATTTGGTTTTCACAGGGAATATTTTCCCACCCATTAGACAACAAATGTTGGACTGACCCAGTAATTATTCTCTCCTATATTTCCTTTGGGCTCTTGTTCAGCTAGTTGGATCTGAGTTGTTATAAACATAATTAGGCCGTCATATATCACTCTGGGATAGTTTGCATGTGACATCACCAAGGAGACCCAGTGGGACGATTAGAGTATTTTTTGGACAAAGTATCTGTAACTATTTGAACTACTTTATCATGGAAATAAAGTTTGTAAACAGTAGTCTTTGCAGAGTGACAAGTTAAGATATATTGCACCCTGATAGAGCTGTTTAGTAAATTAGATTTTCATAGTGCTAATTGAATTTGTCACAAAGCTGATGAACATTAGCTAAAGAAAGGGCAGTATATTTTATTTTATTGAGCATATCTCAGAGTGCTTGTAATTTAGTAGGGCCACCACACTTTCTGGGCAGGCTATCAAGTAGGATATTGTAATGATTTGCATGACTACTATAGTAGATGGAAAAATGTGGCTTGTGTTTGTAGCTGTTCCATTAGTGTCTTGCACAGTGTGCAGTCCCTTGGTGCTCCTCAGAGAGCTGTGTCATAATCCCTGCTTCTTTTGAAGAATGATCTAGTGAAATCAAGTAACTATACATCGTTTAAAATCCGGTGTGTAATTATATGATGAGACAAAGAAAAGACTGAGAAAGGCAGATAACCAATAGAATCCTGAAGTTATCAAAACAGAGCTCTTGCCAAGGACCTTGGAATTCATCTGATTCAGTTGCTGGAAAAATGCCTGAATTAAAAATTATCCTATGAGGACCAAGAAAATAGAGCCAAATTCTGGCACTCTACAGTTTTCTCCCAAAATGGTCATTAATGCTGCAAAAACAGAATAGGGTGAACAACCCTTGGCCCCATGCTTGGCCCCCTACTGTAGGCTCTATCTGCCAAAATGAGATGGAATAGAAGATCAAAAAAGAGGAAAGTTGGAAAAAGAGAGCTTAGAAAGGGAGGTGGTTGGAAAGGGAAAAAGCCATAGGCTCTGCCCCCTGCCAGCACTGAAATACTTGGTTGCAGCTCCACTCACAAAGCACCTGTTGGCAGCTGTTGGAGTAGTTTATGGATTTTGGGACAGTTCCCTTATGTGAAATGTGATATGATCTTATTTTAGTAAAATAGAAGCAATTCTTGGACAATAATTAGAGCAATAAATATACTTGCACAGAAATAATGATGACAGCTTTTGCTTTCATTGAAAAAATTGCATTCTTTTTAAGGAATCTCATTACTACTAATTTTAATATCCTTTGACTGATATCACCTATGTTGTCTTCCTTTAATCCAAAATTGAAAAAAAAACAAGGTTGCATGAAGTAATACAGCAAAAGAATGATCATAAATATCAGCCTGATACTGTCCTTCAAACTCAGTGTCAGGAAACTAAGGATTAGGGGCTGTCTGGCAAATTTTATGTTTTTCAATCTTTATGCATTAGAGTGTAATGATAGAAAATAATGAAAATTGTTTCTGTTAAATTGGAACTCACAGCAAGTATTTTATGTTAGGAGCTCAGTTTGAACATTTTGACATCTTTACAAATTTTAATGTAAATTCCTTTTAAATAATTTTAATGTAAATTCCTTTTAAATAATTTTAATGAAGAATTCTAGCATTGCAATTTACACCCTCCTTCTGTTACTATCTCCAAAAATTACTTGTATTCATGTGCCAAAACTTTTGCTGTTCTTTCTTGTTGTATAAGTAGCTTATTATTCCTTAGGATAAATATGTAACAGTTATCAATAATATATATATTCAATATGTAAAGTGTATCAAGCAGAAAATAAATTACTGTTTTTAAATATAAGTATTTAATATAGGCTGAGCTAAAAGCTCTATTGCGTTTATTGGCTATATCTCCTTTGACTATAATGAGAATCCTCCCTCAGCTAATGCTCTAGTTCAGTTTAAAAGGCTTACTTAGAAGGATCTGTGTTACTCAGAAGGTTTGCATAAAGTCGAAATAGAAAGTAGATAATGTTTTGAAATTTAATGCTCTCAGACTTAAACTTTAGGCCACGTCCCCAGTTTTCCTGTTCTACCTGCAACACTAAGCTTATTAGTTCTAAAATAATCAAAATGTGAAACTTTAAGCCTCCCTTAAATAATACTCAATAATGAAAAGAAGCTCAGGTTTCTGATACTGATAATATACTGCAATGTGTGCCACAGAGAACTGCAGAGCCTGGTTCCTGCATGAAGCTCACTAAGAGCTTTTCTCCATCAAGTCTGTCAAAGAATAGGGCCAAAATGCAAATTCCATTAGTTAAACAGTTTTTGTGTGCAATATTTCAAAATGTGATTTTCTCTTTGTGTTAATTTCAATACTTCTCTTAGAAAAAGAAAGCAATTGAGTAGCCTAGCATGCAACAAACCGTATTACAGACTGTTAACTGTAGTAACACCTAAGCTCAGATGTGGTGTGTGCCATTAGAAGAAGAGGACAAGATGTAGAACTTAAGATAGTGACATCTGAAATAGGAGAGCATCTAGTGGAACATAAGCATCTGCTTAGTTTCAGTGGGACACATAAAGAGAAGAATTTGCAGATATTTTAACTTGAAGAAGAAGGCTTTCATGAATCAAGCTTTCCTGAAACTTAACTCCAAATCACCAAAAGATATATTCTTTATTACAGAAGATTTGTAATTATTTTTATAATAATCATAAATAAATTAAATAAATTCATTCAAACATTGTAATACTTAGAGTTTTCACAACCTCTTTCTTCATGATGTAACATTAAATTTAATTACACTGGGTAAAAAGCATGAGTGGACATTTAAGACTCCTAATAACCAGGGCACAGAAATTTCAAAGATATTGTAATTATTATCTAGGAGGTATATGTATGTATTTTCTTGGCATTTCAAAGTCCTGTAAGATTTGTGTAGTAGTTTTTATTGTGTCTGCAGAGTGACAGATCTCTAAAATACACTTTTACAGTGGTCCTGATAAATACATCTTTTTACTGTTTATTTGCTCTTTGGAATGAAGCTGATATGCCAATGGAAAGTAGAGTAGGCAAACTTAGAAATTTAACTAGAAAGTTCTCCCTGGGTTGTGTATGGACTTTTCATCAGCTGTCAGGTGGGTGGAAAAAATAATGCAGCCAACTTTGAAGGTGATGTTGACAGGTGCATTTGAGACCTTCCAGATCTTTTACCTTGGCACTGGCCCCTTGGGATTCACACTCTCTTCAGGGACGTGGGAAGTCCCCATCATGTGAGTGCAGGTGCCAACGATGAGCAGCAGAGCAGGAAGGGGAAAAGCCAAGACGACACATCAGCATCAGCACAGGGCATTGGACAGGACAGGACAGGAACCAGCGAGGCTACAGCTCAGATACTCAGGAATCAGCTGTCATCTTAACATCAAGTTCATCTGAGCAGTCCTGCAGTGTCCTTAGGAATTATCCTTATATGACAAGGAAGCAAGTGCCAACCTGAACTCCCTTCCTATACTCCCAACAAGACTTATTGTATTTATTTATGATGCCAGTCAAATATTCCCATTGTTCTTAAGTCAGAAAACTGAGGAAAAACCAAGATTAAATTGATTGCATAGCTGAAGTCCTCACTTGCCCACTCTCGTGAACAACTAGTGATGTTTACTGTTGAAAAGCCCAATGGTTTATGCACATACACAAGAGCATGTTCAAAATATGAGGTGTATGAGTACTGTATCATCAATGATATGTGTAGGCTTTTACTTTGCTTTTCAAATTTCAAAAACTGTTGAAGTCAATGAAAATTAAATTACTATTTGTGCAAATGTTTATTAGGCCTTTCTTTGTTATTCTTTTATAGGTCTTGTAGAAATTTGCCTGATGCATCCCCTTGATGTAGTGAAAACAAGGTAAGATCATGCTTGAACAGGTTTTGTTGACACTGGAAGATATCCAAATTACAAGCTGTCAAAAAATAAAATCCTAGAATTTCTCCCAGTAAGATAATTTGTGCTTCTAATGACATTTATATTTACTTACCTGTATTTACAACATTTGACAGATGGAATTTGAGTAGCATGACACATTTCTGATTAGAGGTCATCTAAAGGTGTTAAATTTGCTTATGGCATGTATTTTTACTCTTCTAACACAATGCTGTGACATGAAGATGGCTAAAGTTAAATTCACTTAGAATATGTAATATCTGCAGTAATGCTTTTTGTAATTTGTAATTGGGAAATACCATATTTCCTCAAAATAATTTTCACAGATGTTTAATAAAAATAATAAGAGGAGATGTTCCATATTATCTTTGTGAGCTAAATAACTTCATGATTTTATATTTTTAAAATCTTATCTGTCTTTATTTTGTTTTCTGAATATTTGTTCTTATATGCATATAAATTATTGAATGACCTGAAAAATTTGCTGAAGTTAGTGTTTTCCTAATGTTGGTTACTGAAATGAAAAAAGAATAGCTGCATTTCTAGTTTCGGGAATATCCTTTTATTTTCTATGCTTTTTTGTTTTTATGTAAATTCACAAGTATTGCTGTACATGAAAAGCAAACCAGAATGGAGAAGCATACTAGTAAAAGGGGAAAACTATTCATGCCATGTGTGTTATGCAGTGCCAATAATTACCATATGCTGTTCCTGGAGCTCTATCTAGGTCACAGACATGTAGGTAGAAAAGCTTCACTAGGAGACTAATCAGCCCTATGCAAGTGATGAGGACAGCTGTGGTCTCTGAAATATGCTTGGAGTTGTCAATTATGACTTTATATTCTAGTTTCAGTTAACCAACATGAGCTTTTTATGGATGCGTTTTCGGCTTCTGTCTAAATCACATTCTACGATTTGCCTATGACCTTGAGATGCGGATTTTTGCAGGTTGCATTTTGCAGAAGTCAGCTGTCTGTGGTCATTGCCCAGCACCAGGAGACAGGAATTCAGGCTCCAGCTGCATTAACTGCTTCTAGGGTGCTGTCGGTCCTCCTCAGGGATTGGAGTTTGCTCAGGCAATCCTTCCAAATCCCTTCATAACATGGATGTGTTGATTCATATGCACCTGGTTGTTCTGAGGGTCCTCTCTGCCCCTGCAAGTACCACTGAAACAATGCTATTAAAACAAGACTTTAATAAGATTGAAATTAAAGGCTCAGAAGCAACAGAGTACAAGCAAAACAAATGCCAGACCAGATTTAAAGAAAAAATTCTGTCTTGCTCTTCTGTCAAGTGGTCCCCAAATGATGTGCTTTAGTGACTTCGTTTTGGCAGTTTGTGCTAGAATTCACCTATTACTTTCAAGCTTTGGTTTTACTTTTCCCCATTTTTCTCTTTGTACTGAACTGGAAGTTGTGTTCTTTTGTGGTAAGAATGTAGATCATTCGTAATTTCGTGTAAGCCACATATCATGTGTCAGAAAATGTATTAATTGCACATCTGTACTGGCAGTCAACAGATGTAGTTTCAGTTTTCTGATAGGAACCACACAGTAGACTCTCAGAATACAAGGACGGATTTCCCCATATCTCTTTGAGATTTTACTGAGTTTTACACACTTTCAGTAGTGAAAAGGCTTTTCAGATCTGAGATCCAGAAATGTAAAGCATTGAAGAGTGCATGAGGATGTTTGTGTTGCTGTAACAATCTTTTAAAACACAATAAAAAGTAGTAAAAATCAGGAAACCTTTAAATGTGAAATGTGCATCCATAAACAGTGGAATTCTTAGAAGAAAGAAAGAAGTAGGAAAAAAGCAAAGAACAGTAGCTGTGCACAAGAAATCAGATTATCAATAAAAGTAAAACTGAGGGGCTGAATGAGATAAAAAGTTCAGTAAACAAATTTCCTAATTTGAAGAAACTTCCATTGAGTTAACTTTTCTGCAGAGTTAGCTGCAACTCTTTGCAGAAGTGGGCAGCACCCAAGTGATAGTTTTTCTAGTTTGTTGATGCAGATGTACTCAGAGATATTACACAGATTTTGCAGTAACTTTTCTGCAGATCTCAGCAGATGGTAGTAGTTGAAAATACTTACATTTTGAAAGCAAATGACAAAACCAAGAATAGAATACCCTTTGATCTCATCCATCATTTTGTTCTATGTTCCTAACATCATGTTTCTTCCTTTCATTTTGTAATGGTCCCAATTTACTATAGCAGATTAATTCTTTGATGGCCTTGAAAGTTCAAATGAAACATTGGTTTTAATTCTGAACTTTGGACATAGAATGTTTTCTAATAGTTTTTCATTGACTATATTCCTTTCTTGCAGTGCTTCTGCATACTGTTGTGTACTAAATCTTTCCCAACATGGTATTGATAATCCACCATTTCCTAATCGCTTCCAGCTATTACAAGTTTGGTGATTGGTTTAGGGTTTTCTTCCTTTTGGTTAGTGAAAGGATGTATGAAAGCACCATTTGTTACCTAATTTTTATGGTGTTTTGAGTTTCTTACCTTTTTTCCTGGAAGTGTGTTTGGTGAAAAGAGTCCTGTGGCCATTTCAAATTATTGTAATCTCATTGATCTAAGTTACTGTTCTGAAGGAGTTTAGGGAAGATATCAGAGGCTCACATCTAGTGGACTGGTGGCTTAGTGCTTCATTGATATTTTGTGTATGTGTGTGTTTTTAATAAAAAATTGGATAAAATAAAGTTTCTGTCAAAGATTATTTTGAAACCCTGAAAAATGGTTTGGCTCCTTTATGACATTTTGCAATATCTTTTCTGTGTTTAGCAATTTTCTGTTATTCTACAGTAACAATGCTAGATTTGTTTATCTACTCACATCAAGGGAGGAACAGTATAGAAGTACATGCTTATAAACCATAGAGCATCCAAATGCTTAATTAAGTGTTTTTTCCTAAGAGTACATCTGAAAATAATTTTATTTTTTTCACTGCTAGAACACTAAAGATCACTATAAGAAATTCCTGTGCTAGATAGATGAAGATAACTGTGATCCATTGTTTTAGCTTTATGAATCCCACTTAAACTTTGAAATTAAGCTCTTTTCTCATATGCAAGATGGAACTATTGGAATACTTTCTGATGAGATAGTATTAAAAAAAATGGAACTATTGGAATACTTTCTGATGAGATAGTATTAAAAAAAGATGTGCTGAATTTTAAATTCTTTTGTAGAACAGTCTCTAATAGCTGTTTTATATATCAGTTATCCTTATGATTAACTTAGCGACTAAATAAAGTACTGAACCTCTGTTCTTGTCCTCCTAAAAATACAGAGTCTGGTACGTTTTTGTCTCTGCCCATGTATGAGAAGTGACAGCAGTAGCAAGAGTTTTTCGGTACAGATACGGTCAAGACACAGAAGGTCTATTTTTTAATTAAGAGCTCTAAATGTTCTTTCTTTGGTTGAAAGTGAGGGAGGAGAAAAGTGTCTGAGCCTGGATAAAGAATTGGGTTTGCTTACTCTGTCCCTTTTTTGGGTCTTAAGCATAATGCAGTCTGTAATGTTGTTTTCATCCATGAAACTTTCAAAGGATGACAGAATGACATACTAGGTCATGATACATAGAACAAGACATTGCCATACATATTACTTTAAAATTAAAAATAGTAAAGTGCTTTTCCAGGTAGAGTTTTTCCTTTGTGTCCCAGTGTCATATGTTTTGGGTCGATCAAATTTACAAAATTCCGAACTTAGTAACGTTTTATTGTTGGATAATTAGTATTTATGCAGAAGCTCACAGGTGCATAGCTGGTGAGAGAAAGGGGATATTACAGGGAGCTGTGTGAAGTCAAGGGAAAGCTAATTGCATCTGAGGAATCAGTCAGGCAAGCCTATTTGAAAGAAAGATGATTTCTCTCACATCACGTGAATACCAAATTGTCCTCCAGGTCTGTATTGACTTCAGTGGAGGCAGATGAGTTCATGCCACTGGAGTATTTAGAGTTTTTTACTTCCGGACAATGTATTCAAAGAGAGGTGAATGTTATGCCAAATACCATCTAAAAGTCTTGGAAAAAGTCTAGTTTATTATTTTATCAGTAGAATCATCAGGATAACCCTTGTCCTAAATTTAAACATATGGGCAGATTTTAATACTTCTCTAGTTAACTCAGATAATGACATTTCCATTTGATTTTTTTTCCTCTATATTTAAACAGTTTTTTCGATTTTTCAATATAGTTGTGCCTTCACAATGCAGTCTTGCTTTGGAATGAGTGTGCAGTTTCAAAATCAATGCATAAGGGAGACTCAGGAGATATTCTTTTGAAAGATTTTACTTCAATTCATCAGGAGAATGAGTTATTAAGTATAGCTTGTTTTCATGATTAACCTATCCAGCGCCCCTGTTTTTTTTTCTTAAAGCTGTTTCTCACCTTTGGCAGGGAGGCTGCAGTCCATATTGCTCTGAATTTTCATATGGGCTGACTTTTGGTCTCATGTGTGATCCCCAACATCAGCATTTAAAATATGAGGGCAAATATTTCACCTTCAAAACTGTGGAGGAAATTTTTGTGTCTTCAGGATGGAGATTTTAAATTTTGCTAATCTTTCTGAAAAATTCTAAACCAACATCATGAATCTAAAGGCCCGAATCTAAAAAATAGTTTGAAATCTGCATTACAGACCCATTTCTAATTAGCAACTGTTCTGCTGATTTGTGTGTGTGTTTATCCATTCTGTTCCTTTGTTCCAATTCTGTCATTTTGGTCTTATTAAAAAAGTTCAGCTTACTACATGTGTTTCCGATCTCATTCCATCTGTTATTTTGCAAGAGCTACTTCCTTTATATCATTAATTCCTCTTTGATTTTTGGTCTTTTTTGTTTGAATGGGCAGAGGTGGAGCTTGTTTCTGAAAAACATTGGTTAAGGAAGAGTTCATTGTCCTAATACAATGTTACATTTCCAAGTGGCCATAGTTCACTTGGTTTGC